CTGTGTTAAGGCAAAATGTTACAATATGGCCTCCTTGGCCTTCCAATGTGTTTTGCCTTGGGCAACCTTTTCCAGCAATGGCTGGTATTTATCAGCAAAAAGATACAGTTATTGTATTTGGGTTTTTCAAATAATTGAGTAATTTAATCTTTTAAGTGCCTCTGAGATCACTTGCTGTAATTAAAGACAGAAGATGAATGACTGAGCATTGGAGGACTTTAAAAATGAACATGTCCTTGACTGCATCTCCTGTTCATTTATGTAACGATGATCCCACACTAATATGACTAAACAGATAAAAGGAGAAAATAATAAGAGCTTGGTTGCATTATTTTTCTTCCAGGCCAATAATAATATATCATCAGCCAGAGGAATGTGCCCGTGAATACCAAGCAGGAGCAACCACGTGCTGCCTGGAGCAGGACCCCGCCGCCTCCTGCTGTGAGGTGCAAGGAAAGGCAATATCCGCTCATGGATCCCGCAGCAATGTGGCAGATAAATGAGTTACAAATGTCTATAAAATTCACAAACTTGCATCAGAAGTGGACTTAAAAGCTCAGCAAGTGCTGGGAGAGGCGGCTGCAACACTGGCAGTTTCCTCTATGAGCACTTATTTTCTTAGCTTTTGGAAATAAGACCCATCTAATCCTAGTGGAGAGGGGGAGGCAGAAGGGTCGCTGCAAAGTGAAAACTATTGACAAAGAATCTGTAAGGCCTGGAAATGGCATTTTGCCTTCCAAGTAAGCTACAGCCTTGGCATACCTCTGTCATACCTTGGTACTTAGCTCCCCATTTCATAGCCCAAGTGCATATAAATATGCACATAAAGGGGGAAGAAGGGGTGATGAGACATGAGAGAGCTGGAGCTTGCTCTGCTCCATTCTTCACACAGCACTAAGTTCCTGGGCCATGCATATCCCAGACTGGAGGAGCAGCAGCCTTGAATCCTTTAAGGCATCCTCCAGGCTGCCCCAGAGGCTGCAGCCTGCTGGGAAGCCCTCACCCTTTTCCTCTCCTCCCTTTCCTGGCAGGGCACCCGATGGCCTCCAGCTCAAACTGCACTATTGCCAGACTACAAAACTTTGTCACCTCGTAAAACTTTACAGCGCAGGTAGTTTATACCATTACACCTCTTGAACTGAACACTCAGCCAATTCACAGTTTCCTCTGGTGGGAGGAAAACCAGATTTCTTGGGTCAGGTGTTGTGTTTGTGCAGCCCTGCTGGTTTACAGAGCTGCCGAGGGCCTTTTACAGGGCCCTGAATGCAGAATGCAGCGATGCACTGGCCAACTCAGTGCTGAGAACCAAACCACCATTTCTGCCAACATCTCACCAGGACATGCTATTGGCCTTGCTTTTCCTCCAGGTCCCAGCACATCCCACTTGGAAGGTGTTGCTCCAGCTTGGAAATGTACCTCATAAAGCACAGCCCCAGGGGAAGCTCTGGCTCAGAAGCTCCTGAAAACCAAACAGGTGGGACTGAGAAGTGACTACCAAGGTGCTCTCATCCACTGCCATAAAAAACATCAGGGAGAAGTCCATCAGACATCCCAGATTACAGCGGAAATGTTAGAACTCACCCTTCCCAATGAAAAAAAAAAAACAAACAAAAACCAAAAAAAAACCACCAAACACCTGAAGTTTTGTGTGTTACTCTTAGTGAGGAAGAAACCATTTCCACTAACAGAAAAGAACTAAAGTAGAAACGAATCCCACTCACTGAGAATTTGCAGCATTTAGAAAACATCACTGCTGTAATTCCCACTGCTCTGCTCAGTGCTGGTGACTGACCACCCCTCCTGCATCCCAGACTCCCATAGGTCTCCTGGGACTTGGGCCAGATTTGGATGACCTCAGGAGAGCTAGGATCAGATAATGAGGCTTCACCATGTTGTGAGTAGTTCTTGTGACAAGAAAAAGGCTTTTGACAGCTAAATTTCTCATGTAGGAGGTGTATCATTGAAGGAGGTATATCACTGAGGGAGAAATATAGAAAATATGGAAAAAAATTATTTTTAACTAAGAATATTCGAAGTCACATGGCCCATCCCCACAGAAGGAGACTGCTCACTCAGCTACCAGGAAGAGGAACTTGCACATCTGCTTGTGCCTGTGGCTTTTCTGCTCTGCCTCGTTAGTATTTTCCCTGGCTTCTCTGCCTCACTGGTGCTTTTGCTACTCCTTCAGAAACACAGAAAACATCACAAAATAATAGCCAGTGAAATGTCAGCACCCACAAGCATCCTGGCTGCAGGCTGCTGTTATTTCAACTTTCTGATTTCTTAAAAATCTTAATTTTTCTCAGAACTGCTTGACAGTGGTGTTTCTGTTCAACTCATGAAGCAAAGCAAAAGGCTCTGATACATTGAGCACTCACACTTTCTTCTCACCTTATTATTCCTTTTTTCCAAAAACTTATAAAGGCTGGGCTTAACAAGAAGGGTGGGTTCAACAGGTCTGCACCAGCCATAGCCTTTAGAGGGCTGAGGAAGAGTGGTTTGGCAATTCATGAGTGGCACATCAAAGACAGGAAGAGCTTTCCCTTTTCTTTTTCATGCCTCTTTTTCTTGGCTTTGCTTGAGCAAAGAATGATCATGATTGAACTTTCCTTGCCAAAGCTAAAGTCTGGCACCTAGAATTGACTTCTTCACCCTGAATAAGGGAATTTTCACCTCAGTGGTCTCTGCAAGTAGAATGAACAGATCAAGTTTTCTAACTTGAAAGCAACACCTACAATGCAAGGAGAAAAGGGCAGGTTGTGTGTTTAAACATGATGACACTTGTATGTTCCCTCTTCCGTTCATTGGGTTTGTCCCATTCTACTCCCACTTCCCTTAATCTTGACATTTACTACCCTTAGGATGTTTAACAACGATACCACAAACTGACTGCTTAGTGCTGAACCAGGCTGACAGAATCCCTGAAGCCTGTCAGTAACTCTACTGAAATAAAAGGGTTTTCAGATTTAGTGCAGTGTTACTATGGAATAAGATATTGCACCAAAGCACTCTTAAATTGGTACGGTTACTTCCACAGACTTTCTAAATAGCAACAGTCACTTTAAAAAATAATAATAAAATAAACCTCAAATAACAAAAACCCTCCAAACTCCTAGGTCTGTTGGAAAAACATCTGTTTAGCCACAGGCCCCAGAAATCTCCAACAAAAATTGGAGTTATTTCTGTGTCACTGGAAAAACAAACAGCAACACAAACTCCTTGCAGAGTTATCACAATAGCCTCTCCTGAGATACTCTGTACTTCATGCTGCAGGCAAAGAAACTGGACAGATTAAACAGTAAAATCATGTTACAATTTGTTACATTCAGTATCTTTATTTCACTTCTGTGATTGTTATAAAAACAAAATAACATTCATCCTGCCATTTAGCAAAGACATCCCTCCCACAGTCACTCTGTACAATCTTTTCAAGAAATAAACCAGAAGATTTGCACACACGTCACAAAAATATTTTGAACAGATATAATGTTTAATCTGGAGCACTGAGTAAACTGGCACCAGCATTTCATCCTATAAACACAGTTAAAAATCAAGAAAGCAGTCTACCTAAAAAACTGCAAGTTGAACATGCCGAGCCTTGTTGCACTTCAGAAAACAAACACCAGCCACCACCAAGCTGTGTTTGCAGCCTGAGTCGGGAGCCCCCCCTGCTCCAAGTCCTTGCTGCTGCCTGCATTTCTGCTCAGGATGCACAGATGGGGTCCGGAGTGCCAGGTCACTACTCTCATGTTGGCAGGGAAGGCAGCAAGTGCCCCACAGCAGGACCAAAGGAGGTGATTGCAACATCAGTTTGCACAAGCACACCTTGAAGGTACCCAATCTTTGCCTAGTCAAGGGCTTCTTTGTGGTTAGTGAAGAGCGATTTTTTTCAAGACAATTGAGAGGAAACTTGCACTGTCCCCTGATTACATAAAATAAGGCCAATTCCAGAGGCAAAACCATATCATTATCTCCATCAGAACAGCCCATCATTGTGCAATTCAGTGGCCCAGGCAGCACCACAGGCAGGATGCTTGGGAGAAGGCTTTGGCAATCACTGTGCCCTGCTCAAGCCAGCTGTGCTCTGCAGTGATATTTAAAACCTCTTCCAAAGGCAGCTATGCCAAAGGCTGTGTTAGCTCCATGGGTCATGGCTCCATGAGTGGATAAGATCACACAGTAACAAATCCCAGTTTACCTACAAATTAGCTATCCAGCTGGTGCCATCTGCCTGTCGGTGGTTACATATCACCCAGCCTCTATGGGAAGAGCCTGCCGTGTCTCCTCTGTGCTGGGACTGCAGTTTCACACATTGTGCTGTGCCTGGGCCATTCCACAGCTCCCAGCAGCAGCTGGATAGAAGGGAACTGCTTGTGAAGCAGTTCAGGCCAGTGTCCACCAGCACTGTGCCCATGGCACATATACTCTTCTGGACTTGCCCTGCCCAGGCCCCCAGAGCCCCCTCAAACCCAAGGGAGGCAGGTACAATCCAGGTACACCTGGCTCCTCCCCAACATCTGCTCAACAGCAAAATACACACCACACACACACACATACATACAAAATGCTGAAGCTGGGCATGACCGGGGTACAGCCTGTGCTAAATGAGCATCACTTTTTGTTACCTACTGCAAAGGCATCCAGCAGCTGGCGTAACATTGCACAGAGATTCACTGCCGTGCCAGGGAAAAGCCATTCCACATTTCATACACTCAGGGAGAGCTATTTCTTCATAATCCTCAGTGCACCAGGCACCAACGCATAAATATACAGCAGTTTGAAATGTTCTCTTCTACAGCAAGTCCTATCAGTCTATAAATAATTTTTATACATATTTGTAATACTTCAGCCCTGAAATGTGCACCTTAATCTCAATACCAAAATACACATAATTGAGAAGAGAGACCATTTAAAGACTGGAACTGGAGGAAAAATATATTAATTATATGAGAAGATAGCAATTATTTTTTGCTACACATTATTTAAGAAAAAATAGAATCTTAAATTACAAATTAAAAGCATATTTCATATATGTTTTAATTTACAGTATAGAATCATAGAGCATTCAGGTTGAAAGGAACCCTGGGAGGTTATTTAGTCATCTTCTAGTAATCTATGAGATAAACATCAAATTTAATACAGCATAATCAGCTTTAGTAGATAAATAATTCTTGATTAACACAGAGCACATTTCTTTTAAAATGTTCTTTCCAGTGAGTGACATTGTTCACATAACAATAAAAATACAATAACAGCTGAAAGTAATGCAGGCCTAGAGTTAGAGAGCAGAGAAGAATGACCATACTGCTTTATATTGAGGATCCTCCAAATGCAGCAATTCACAAGGCAGGCAAAATGACACAGGTCTTTTTCCCATTCTCTCTCTATTTCTACCAATAAACAATGGTGCTAACATTTTACTGTTTTATCTTGTTGAGAGAAAAACACTCTCAGACATCCAGTAATACTTTGGGATGAAATGCTGCCAGGTCCAGTCGCTCAAAGAAGAATTTCCAGCCAACCTGTGAGAGGTTTGACCCAACAGCTCCACAGTCTCAGACCTTGGCAGCAATAAAGTGCTGCACTATGACACTAAAATGCTGGCTTTTAAAGTCTCTGCACTCAATGCAAACAGCATGCAGAGACCATCCCTGCTAAGTTACCACAGGTTTCCAGAAGGTAAGTAGCCAGGCAGCAGCAGTGGCAGTTGAATTCAGCTGGCTTTGAGAAGTGCAGAAATAGGGTGTCCCAGCTGTGCCATGTCCCTGGGTACAGGGCAAGAGGGCACGGGGTCAGGAACACAGCTTTCTGCCAACTTAGACAGTGAAGACATCCCAGTTCCTGCTCTTTGCTTTTTTTTTTCCTGAGCAAATCAAAGGGAAGCCCTTTCACCCTTCCCATCTCTTCCCAGTAGATGGCATGACCCCTGCAATCCCTGGATATATCCCTGCTTCTTACCCCCCTGAGAAGGACACAGCTCCTTTAACTGAAGTTCCCCAATGGCATTCTGAAGTCAGATGGAGTCTCAGTACTAGTTAACTGATTTACCAAGAGCTCCCAGCAGTACAGAGTCATTTCCCCCTGTTCTTCCTCCTGCATCTGCTTTAGGAAAGGGGTTAATCTTTCCCCTGGCACTGCTTTTTGTAATTCTCCTCCATCTTTCTTCTCAGTCTTGATCCCTGCTCCAGTTAGGTTCTAGCTCTGGTTAAGAAACATCAGTGTTAAACCCAGTTTGGAAAAGTAAACTCTTATTTCACCTCAGTCTTGGAGAATTTGGCACTGAGGCTCTTCCATCACATCATGTTTTCAAAACCTACTTTCACCTGTCCAGTTCAGCGAGGCAAATCCAAGAAGGGGAAAGCATCTGTTCAACAAAAGATCCCAGGCAAAGTTGTGAGACAACTCCAACCACAGGTATCAAGAACTGGTTACAAACCAAAGGTACTACAACAGAGAAAATTATTTCTGGAAACCATATGCAAGCAGTAGCTTCTCATTCTCAATATCCTGCAGTATCAGACAATGTAAATGCTTTCCTAATGCTGAAGCAATCACAGCATTGTGCATTCTTATTTAGATTTCCCAAGGGGATGCAAGAAAAAGGACTGTGAGTGATGTATTCAAAAGAGAAGCTCTATTTATAATCTTCTTTCTATCCTCTTGGAGTAGTAAATTATGAAGAATATAGTAACAATAAAAGCAACAAATATGAAAGAGATAAAGGCTAATAACGATTTTCTTGTTCGGAAGAAGTGGCATTCGGGACACAAGGCAACATCTTCCGGACACAGCAACTCAGGAGTTTCAGGACCAGGAAAACCATTATTGTCAATTATTTCTCTGTAATGTTTCAGAGAAGGCTTTGGTTCATATTGATTTGCAACGTAGCTGTAGAGACCATACTTAGGAGCAGTCTTGTCATTAAAAGAATAGACAAAATATCCTTGAAGGTTAACATCATCCAAGGTGTAAGCTGCAAAAGAAAACATAGGGTTGAAGAAATGAATCAATGTCACTTTGCATTCAAGAGCAGTACCATATGTTCATATGTAAAGGAGGGGCAGGAGAATGTTAAACCCACATCTGCACTTCTCCTCTCCAAAATTAGGTAAGGTATATGTACATCTGTTAAGTGTTTCTCATAAAAAGTAAGAATCTGTCAGCCACTGCCAAACAGCGTGATCTCTGAGTATCCTGCAATTTATTTCCTTGTGCTTGGTAAACACAGCTGTGAGTGACTGACTGTGTTTAATGATCAGCATGGAGCCTATCATGAAAAGATGGCTCTCTTTGTTATGTATGAAAGAATACAGGTTTTGAATTTCCTGCCCCTAGTTTTCTGCAGCCTGTTTCTCTGATTGCTCCTTCTCCCTTGCAGGGCACGTCCTGCTGGGGACAGTCAAGAAACAGAGGACATCAGGCTGCACTTCTCACTAGCAAAGGCACGGTGACAGAAAAATCGCACAGACACATAGAGGTCGTGTACTGGGATATCACTGGTGCAAGGGGAAAGGTTATGCAAATCACTGCCCTCTCTAGTTATTAACAACTTTCTGATCCAAGATGACCTGTATTAGTCTTTATTGAGAACATGCCCACAATCCATACTGCTAACTCAGCTACTGGAAGAGGCGCAGCAGCTGCAGTGTTAACCTTGAGCCATCCATCCCACTTGACAAAAAAAAATCAATCCAAGGTAGTAAACACAAAGTAGTTTATATCTCAAAATCACTGTTTTAACAAATTAAAGCAGATGAAAACAGAATTGAATTTTCATATGCTTCTGGAAACAAATCTTTCTGAAGCCATATACAGGACGTTAGCATTTCTAACCTACTTTTCATATGAAAAATGAAATAATATTTACCTGCCCTTTAACAGAGCTGCTGCCGAGGATAATTAGTTGTGTTTGCAGAACTGCAGGTGGACTTAACAGTGTTACATAAATGGTTACTGCTGTGCTTTGTTTTCAATTGCCAAAGATGTACTTAAACAGAGTACAAGGCACTTCAAAATACAGTCTCAGCCCAAAGGGTCCCATACTGTATGCTGGAATCATTTATCTGCACAAACCTGCAGGCTCCTCTGGCACAATGCAGGTGAGTAATATTACATGCACAAAAATTTCCACATGCAGTTCCTGAAACCAGATGGAAGAAGAAGGCAAAATAGGGACTTTAAGGCCAGGGCACACATGCACCAATCCTCCTCTACACTGTTACACTGAGGTAAGGACACAAGATCATCACAAGATTCATCGCAGTTACTGCATAAGGTCTTGCAAAAAAGAAATGCAAGTCTCGGAGAAACCTGAATCAGCCACGATGCCAAGGTTATGTAATGGCAAGATGAATAAAAGTGCAATACTAGAGAGGGAGAAGAAAAAATGGAAAAGCTGATGGACCAGACACTATGGAGGAGTGTATGGTGTCTAAAGGGGAAGATTAAGCTTTAGGAAAAGTATTATGGCTAGTCAGCAGAGACATATTTATCCATTACAAAGAAGGTGAAAAGATAAGAAAATAGGTTAAGCTGAAGAACACAGAAGCTATTTACAGGCTGGACAGAAGAGGGAGAAAGAAGTTACTGGGGGACAGTGGTAACAGAACAGTTCAAAGGGCAAAGTTCTGTAAAAAACAGAGGCATATGTAGGTGTTCTTGCTAATGGGAACTGGAAGAAAAGCCCATATCCACAGAGACTTTGAAAACAGGGGTGCCAAGGAGACAAGCAATACAGAAAAAAAACAGTTTGAAACCACAAGCCCAAATATAGACAAAATGTGATTTTTAACTACAGATTTATAAAACATGCATCCAGTGCTACAAAATGCTGGAGAACGAGCTCTTGGGCACTTAACATTGATGTTCAGTAATTTGTGAAAGAGGTGGAAATTACAGAGGAGGAAGTTAAAGCCAATAGTTCATAAAGTGGACAGGAACTGCCAGCCATCCTTCACTACCTATCAAAAGAGAGGAACAGATTATATAAAGCTTGATAAATATAAAATTTAGGCGATAATACATGATTAATGTTAATCATCTTATCTTTATGAAAAATATATCTTGCCAAAATAACTTGACATCTTTTTTTTCTGAGATCAGCAGATCAATAAAACTAATGATGTTTGATGTTACATATTTAGAGCTCCACAGTTCAAATGACTTGGTATTATATGGCATTTGAAATAAGAAAATAGAATGTTATGAGGTCAAGGGAAGACCATAATAAACAGATTTCAACTGGTCTCAAGTAGAATTAAGAAGTGATGGAACTAGAAGTAAGTCTAGAAATGTAATTACAGGTAAGTAAGTGTCAGTGTGTGTATTCCTACCATGGTCATGGAGCTCGGCTTTTAGCACTGATCTTAAATATATCAGCAACATGAAATAAATGTAGAACTATTTCTCACAGTCTGCAAGTATCATAAAAATTAGAGACATAACTTAGCTAGTGTAGCAAGGTTTGCACAAACAAGCAGCAGGCATTTGAACATGACCAAATGTGAAGATATCAAAGAACAAGCAGACCTAGTTTTGAAGTGGCAGTCCTACTTGGAATGGGGGCAGGAATCTGTAACTAAGTTTAAAATGTCAGCAAATCACCACAGAATCTGTGTAATCAACCTGCTGCCATGGCCAAGAAGGCCAACAGCCTGCTTGCATGTAGAAATTAGAAGGGTAAGAGGTTGTTATGCCTGCCTAAGTGTGACAGGAACAGTGTGTCCAGGTCTAGGTTTACCCCTCTCATGAGGAATGCCAGCACACAGGGAAAAACTTAATAACTCAGAGCTTTGAAATGATGCTTTATAAAAAGAGACACAAAGAGCTTTGTCTGTATTACCTAATCAAAGAGATAAATGAAAGATAGCTTGTCTTGTGTCTGCAAATACCTACATAGGTAAAATACATGTGGAAATGCACAGCAAAATTGCTTAAAGCCAAAGCTAGAGCAATTAACAGTAGAAGTGAGATTTTTACATATATATATACACACACTGTGAGGTGCCAAATTCTTCATCACTAAAAAATTATCTCATTTGGGTCTTGTGCTTTTCTGAAAAAACAACATGGCCTGTAAGACAAGATGACTCAAAATGCCTCCTTTTTGCCTTATAATTTATGAATCTTTGAGACAGAGACTCGTGTGTCCTGAATAGCAGGAAACAGTCCAGGAAATGGCATAATGAGGTAGACAGCTGAATTATTTTGAAGATCACTCTTGGATAAGACCACTGTTGGATAAGATACAGAGACAACTGAGGAGCAGAACTCATACCCAGCCCTGAGGGACATCAGTGGAAGGAAGCAACAGAGCAAAACAGTAGAAGTGCAATAAGATGAAAATCTGACTAAATACATGTGGAGCTACTCACATAAATTCTATTTAAATTTATTGAATCCATAAAAAACTTCTGCTGTCTTATGCAGAATATAAGCAAGGTCAGTCTTCCTGACGTTTATTACCAATCAATCATAAATCAAGGGGGAAATTACCTGTTACACTGCAGTAACATTTCATTTATGGTGTATTCTACAGAGAACATGTCTTATAAAGCTAAACATACTCTATCACACAATGTATACAAATAGTGGGACTTGTGACATATAAACCATCTGTGGTTCTTTACCTTTTAAAGCTTCATTGATGTAATTCTGTATGTAATACACTCTGAGCTTATCATGCACCATATTCTGGTCATCATCAATCCCATTAGCCATGACATAAACTGGGACATCACCATACTTTGATTTCACCCACTTGAGCAATTTACGCAGTCCCCAGGGCACTACTGCAGCTCTGCTGGGAGAGTGAAGCCATGTGATGTCATTGATCATTTGAGCTTCAAGGTAGTGGTCATATTTTACTGCATCTTCTTTCTCTGAGCCCACAAGGGTAGTAGTGTAGTGACTCAAGGCAAAAAAATCAAATGAGCCCTGTATTAACTTCTTTTCATCTTCTGAGAAGTAAGGCAAGTGGAAATTATACAGGTCAACACTGTTTATTCGGTGAAGCCACACTCTCATCACCTCTGGGTAGTCTCCACTCCCAAAGATGGGCTCTGCAAGCCAGCCAATGTCAAACTCTAAAATCCTGTCAGCAACTTCTTGGTCATTCCTGGAAAAGGGACAAGCTGGTTCTACCCAGTCGGCTTGCAAAGCTATAGATATTTTGCCCTTCTGAGATCTCCTGAATTCTTTGTCATAAAGATGCCAGACCTTTGCATGGGCTTTCAAAAGGTTGTGCCCTGCTGTGTATGTCAGGTTTTTCACAGATGGTTCATTCATGGTGATCCAAAATTTGACGTGGTCCCCAAGACTTGTAAAGCAGAATCTGGCGTACTCAACAAAAGCCTGAACGGTTTCTGTGTTCTCCCAAGCTCCATATTTGGCAAGAGAAACTGGAAGCTCTTGATTCTCAATCATAGGTTGCCATAAAGCAACAACAGGAGTTATGTTAACTCTGAGAAGTTCACTAGCAAAACACTGATAGTAATGGACAAGTGTGTGGTTGATTAGAGAAAGGTTACCTAAAGGAAGGATTAAAGACCATTTCAGTGAAAAATGGAAGTGTGTGACATGCATTTCTTGCAGAAGAGAGATCTGAAGCCTGATAGCAGCAAAGTCGACACAGTGACGCTTGCGCTTCGAGGCGTAAACTCCATCCACTTTAATGAGCTTCTTTGTCTGGTGAACATCCCACACATAAACACTGGAGTCAACGAACTGGGCGGGTGTCGTGTCTACCTAGGAAGAACAAGAAACACACCAGATTCAAGCTGCTTGTTCCAGGTAGGTGAGAACATCAGAACCATCAGGCCCAGCCTAGTGAAAAAATATCCTAAGTCAAAGCATTGCATTCAGCATCTCTGATACTGCATCTCAGGCTCGCAGGAATGAATGATTTTCTGTTAACGAGTGATGTCAGAAAAGTAGCAAATCTATATATAATTTTCACTCTACTTTCCAAACAACCTTATGCTAATGGTCATCATGTTTATGTCTTCTCTAAGCTGTTCCAGTTTCCAAAAGAAACAAGGCATTGCTCAGGGATAAGGCACTAAGCCTGCAACAGAACTCCAGAGAAGGACATCTTCAATGAAGACTACAGTAATTTTTAAAATGTATTTCTTTCAAGATTAAGGAGGGTATACAGAGAGACTGACTGTTGTAAATTACCCAGTACAGTCAGTTTCAAGACCACTCCCTGAATGCAGGAAAAGAAATAATGAATACAACATCATTTCTGTGTTCTGTTTTTTTCCTGACTATGATGAAAGATGAGTAATGCTCTGCACTTGATTTCTAGCAAAAATTCAGTTGACAAGCAAAATTTCTCTTTCTTGCTGAGGACATCCTTCTTTATTTAATTCACACTGAAGTCATTTCCAAGTTATTTCAGCAGGCTGTTGATGTCTGAATCAATTTTTTTTGGGCCTCTGAGTAAACCCACTATATGTTACTCCAACAGAAAATGCATTTCTGAGAAGCCTTTAGGGTTTCAGATGTCAGAACTGCCTGTATGACACACAGTAACACAGTACAAGATGAGCTTCTCAGGGTTGCTCAGAATTATACTTTCACTTTTTAATGACAATCACCAGCACAGTAAGGACTAGAAAATGAAAAATTAAACTGCTTATAATAATGCACAGTGTGAAATTTCCTCATTCACACTCTGTGTAATTCTTCCTAGATCCAAACCACAGGATAGTGGTACCATGGTCTTTATTTGTCCTTTTTTCTTTCATTTTAATCGTTGGTATGTGGTTTCCCCCTGAATTCAGATTCCTTGTCCTGGCCTCTGTTTGAAAAGCAGGTGTCAGCCTACAACCAGTGTTCAACTTGTAGCTGAGGCTCTGCAGACTGTATAAAAGAAGCTGCTGAAAATCAGTTGCTATTTTCTCCGGAGAGGTCAGTACTGTGCTTATAGAAGAAAGTAATAAAAAACAGCATGTCTGAGGGAAATTGCTTTTCTGGAGAATTGTCCCTTGTAGATTACTAAAGCACGCATTGCCACTAATACTGTGGGAATGCTGTCAAAACAGTTTTTCCACTGTGATGCATCTACAAATCAAACTACCTAAGCCTTACAGCACAAAATGTTTGAACGGCCTTTTGAAACGAAAATATTCAGCTTTGAAAGTTTTGGGGATGGGAGGGATTTTTTAGCTGTTGTAGGCTGACTGACTCCGCAACTTTATTGTTGTTATTGACTCCAAAAGCAGCAATTCCATTTCCAATTCTTAATCTATCTGAGAGCTAGGAGGATGACTTGAATTTTCTTGAAAATTGGTGCATGAGGTAAGGAGGCTGCAATATTTCTCAAGAGAACAAAGCCAAATCTTACATTTGGAATGAGAAAAAACAAACAAGCTCTTCACATTCTGGCCTTAAGAAAGATTCTGCCTTTGTGGAAAATATAAATTTAAAATTCTGTTCTTGGATGAAGCCTTGGCTTTGAATTTACACCTCTTTACTGTGGTTAGAGAAGCTCTGCACCCAAAATAGCATCCGAGAATTACAGAGCCCAACAGCTAAAGTGATCATAACTAGTACTCATATTACAAAGTTTTAGAATTTGAAAAATTCTCCCAAAGTATCAAATCAGTTGAAATAAAGACTGAGGGCCATGAACTAGCTAGGTTTTATGCAGAGGCACTGCAGCCCTCATCAGACAAATATGACATAAAATGAAATAGAAGGAATACAGTAATTTCATTTAAATCTAATATTGTTCACTTCCTTTTATATAAAATCTCTCTAAGAACAGTACCAGGATGTATATGCATAAGATGTAGAAATATGCCACTGGAGTTTTAGGAGTTTTCAGGAAGTTTTCTGAATCATGTATTTTACAGTTTAGCAGATTTAATTGACTTCCCTTTGAAAAGAACTGACTTCCCATAACTGATCATATATGTTCAGGGAAGACAATAATCAGATTCCTTTCCATTTCCACACATTTTTCTAAAGCATTACTTATAGTGTCTCAATCTGACTGATTCTCCTTGGTCACACACAGAAACTCTGGTGAAGAATCAAAGACACAGTGTTTGGCACAAAAGCCTTGTATTCATCTCCTTGCAGCACAGTGGTAATACACACACACTGAGTGTGGCAATGACAATCAATTTAACAAACACGTCACTGTGAACTTGTGCACTGATTTGGCAGGACAGCCTGTCGGCTTTATTATTAGACTCACCTGAATGTAGTTGTCAACAATTCCCCAAGCAAAGCCACAGGGAAAAATACCTTCTATGGGCAGGTTTTCAGGCAAAGGTGGGAAGCCATTTTTTTCTATCAGCTTTTGATAGAACAAGACAGAAGATTTGGGTATCAGCTTCTTGTCATGGCTTTGAAAATCAACATAGAACAGTCCACGCCGAATGCTGTACCCCCTATGCCACTCGAAGCCATCCAGGAGGGACCAGACTGTGTAGCCAAACACATTAACTCCGTCGTACCGGATAGCTGAGGAA